AGTCTATCAAGTGCGCTTTGCGCGTCCCCATAATTTCGAACAGACAGACGATGTCATCGGCGTACTCTAAATCGACCACCGCTATAAGCTACAAATGGCAGGGTTGTATACAAGACTGCCGACCGTACTGGAGCACTCCCCTCGAATCCGACCACGCGTTAGTTTGCGCCAAGCTGTCCATGTGTTTTGGTGGGCGTTCCAAACGCTTGACACATCGACGGTTAGACTATGATCAGTTGTCTGAACCAGCACGTCTAACTGTCTTTCAGAACGGACTAGCTGAAAAGCTAGAATCAACCCCACTCGATGACGTTAACCAGCACTGGTCGCTTATCAAGAATGCTCTGCATTCTGCTAGCTTAGTTAGTTGTGGTCTGACACGTCGTGCGGTGACACCCTGGATTTCTGCGGAATCTCTACGGCTTCTCGACGCACGCCGATCAATCCCGACCGGCAGCGAGCATAATGAAATACGACGAGCAACGAGTCGTAACCTCAACGTAAGCCTACGCAGAGACCGCGAGATCTGGTGGACTAAACGCGCGTCAGGGATGGAACGTGCTGCCGCCATGGGAAATTTCCGTAAGCTGTTCCATCTCATCCGGGTCATCGGTAGGAAAGCCTTAGGTGTGAGCGAAACAACCTGCGAAGCTGATGGTTCGCCCATTCACAATGAACAACGACGTCTTGAACGCTGGGCGGAGCACTTCAAAGCACATTTTAGCTGGCCACCAGTGTCAGCTCCTCACAGCTATTCCGGCACACGTCCCATGGTCTGTCACAACAGACCCACCGTCTGAGGCGGAAATCCACAAGGGGATCCAAGCCTTAGGTCGTCACAAAGCGCCGGCCCTGCTCTATTTAAAGATGATGGAATAAAGCTTGTTAGAGAACCCCACGTCCTGTTCTCCAAAGTGTGGAACTCTGAGCAAGTCCCCTCCTCGTGAGGGGAATCGATTGTTGTCCCCATCTTCGAAAAGGGCCCGCGCGATGACTGGGGCAATCACAGGGGTACAAGCCTGATCCCGATGCGGTCGAAGTTGTCGGCTCCGCCATTCTCCGCCGATTGTCCATTACGCGTGAAGAGCAGACCCGCGAGGGGCAGGCTGGGTTTCGCGCCGGTCGTGGATGCATCGATCAAATCTTCACCCTCAGACAGCTGCTAGAGCACCGTCATGTTTACCGTAGACCAACGATCGTGTTCTTAGACATTCACGCGGCCTTCAATTCTGTTGATAGAACCGCAATATGAAGGTGTTTGTTGATGAATGGAGTACCAGAGAAGTATGTGTCGATCCTCAAAGAGTTGTATCGTCATACCTTAGGTCGGGTTAGGGCCTATGGCCAGCTTTCGCCACCCTTCACCGTCTACAGTGGAGTTCGACCAGGCTGCCCTGTATCCCCATTCCTTCTCAACTTTGTCATAGAGGATGTTCTACAGAACGCTTTGTCCGGTCTAGGAAACGGTGGAGTCGAACTCCTCCCAGGGAAGAGTTCTTGACTTGGAGTATGCCGATGACATCGCCTTGTCGGGTGACAACACACAGGCAGTCCAAGAGGCTTTGAACCGCTTGGCGATCGAGGTTTCCAGGTATGGTATGTGCTTTGCACCTTCCAAGTGCAAAGTGCTGGTTCAAGACTGGCAGGAGCCTGTGCCTGCACTCACCCTCTGCGGTGAACAGCTAGAAGTAGTTGAGAACTTTAAGTACCTCGGGAGCTTGATTGCAGCTGGTGGTGGCGTTGGGGACGAGATCACATCACGAATAGCGAAAGCTAGAGCAGCTTTCGCCAACCAGCGACACCTGTGGCGCCGCCATGATATCCGACTCTCTCTTAAGGGAAGGGTGTACAACGCCGCAGTTAGTAGTGTTCTGCTTTACGGTTGCGAGACCTGGCCTCCCCGAGCGGAGGACGCTAATCGACTTTCTGTATTCGACCGACGATGTCTCCGAAACATTGCTCGTGTCTGATGAGAACATCGGGTGAGCAATGACGAGGTCCGTCGTCGTGTGTTTGGTGTGCATAGTCGTTCCCTAACAGAAGTAATCTCTCTACACCGCCTCCGATGGCTTGGTCAC